AGGGCGGCGGGGCGGGGCGGGCAGAGGACACCGCCGGCCCCGGAACACAACCACCCGCTTCCGGCCCCGGCGGCCACCGCGGCGGCGGTGGAAAGAACCGCGGGTTCGAGTCCCGGCCCCGGCAGAAGGGAGAAAGGCAACAGCTCGGTCAGTGAATCACGGGATGGTCCAGGTCGGCAGGGATCACCGAGTCCAACCAAACGCACCCTGAACAAGTCTGAGAGGTTGAGGGAGCTGGGGGTGTTCAGCCTGGAGAAGAGGAGCTGAGGGGAGACCTTCTCGCTCTCTACAACTCCCTCAAAGGAGGGGTCCGTCTCTTCTCCCAAGGAACAGGCGATGGGACAAGAGGAAATGGCCTCAAGTTGTGCCGGGTGAGGTTTAGGATGGATATTAAGAAAGGGTTATCAAACACAGGAACAGGCTGCATGGGGAAGGGGTGGAGTCACCATCCCTGGAGGCATTTAAAACGGGGGCAGACATGGTGCTGAGGGACACGGTTTACAGAATCACAGATTCTTCTAGGTTGGAAGGGACCTTAAAGATCATCTAGATCTTTAAGACTAGAGGAAATGGCCTCAAGTTATGCCAAGGGAGGTTCAGGCTGGATATTAGGAAAAACTTTTTCACCGAAAGGGTTATCAGCCATTGGAATGGGCTGCCCAGGGAGGTGGCTGAGGCACCATCCCTGGAGGTGTTCAAAAGACAGGTTGATGTGGTGCTGGGAGGTATGGTTTAGTGATGGTGTTGCTTTTCGTTTGTTGTGTGGGTGTTTATTTTTTGTCAAAATTAGGTTGACAGTTGGACAAGATGATCTTTAAGGTCCCTTCCAACCTAGAGGATTCTGTGATTCTGTAAACCGTGTCTCTCAGCACCACGTCTGCCCCTGTTTTAAATGCCTCCAGGGATGGTGACTCCACCGCTTCCCCACGCAGCCTGTTCAGTGTCTGATAACCCTTTCTTAATATCCATCCTAAACCTCCCCTGGCACAACTCGAGGCCATTTCCTCTTGTCCCATCACCTGTTCCTTGGGAGAAGAGACCGACCCCCCCTGGCTACACCCTCCTTTCAGGGAGCTGGAGAGAGCAAGAAGGTCTCCCCTCAGCCTCCTCCAGGCTGAACACCCCCAGCTCCCTCAGCCTCTCCTCACCAGACTTGTTCTCCAGACCCCTCACCAGCTCCGTTGCCCTTCTCTGGACCCGCTCCAGCCCCTCAATGTCCTTTTTGCCCTGAGCCCAAAACTGGACACAGCCCTCGAGGTGGGGCCTCACCAGTGCCAGGGGACAATCACTGCCCCAGTCCTGCTGGCCCCACTGTTCCCAATACCGGGATGGATGCTGGTGGCCTCCTTGGCCACCTGGGCACACTGCTGGCTCGTATTCACCACTATTTTAACTTGAAATTAAAAAGCAAGGACAGGAGGATGTTTACTGGCCCTCTCTCCCTGCCTGGTGCTCAGGAAGCTCCAGGGCTGTGGAAAAGCACTGGTGCTTCCCTCTTGGCCACAACAAGAAAAAGCAGCATACGTGGTGGAAGCTTCACTCCCATCCATCACCCCTCTCTTTGTTAGAATAGTTGGCTTTCTGGCAAGACCTCAGCAGTTTACTCAGAAAAAGAAAAAAATATTATTTTTTTTCCCTTTAGCAATAAATATTTTACGGGGAAGATCGACCAAGGCAAGCGATTTCCTGGCATAAAGCTTTTCCTTTGTCTAAAAGCTGGCACTATTGCCCTGTATTGAGTAGAAGGACAAAAGGCCCATTGCTCACCACGTGACCGTAGCAGGAGAGCGTCGATATCCCTTCATCACATCAATATCCCTTCATCATGCTGATATTCCCCCATATCACATCAATATCCCATCATATCGATATCCCACAAGACACTCCCACAAGGAAATGCTGGGACTCGTACCTGGATGTCCTGGGATCATTTCCTCCACCCACACAGCTCTCATGTCTCACAACACAACACGCAGGACTTTGATTTTTGACATCGCTTCTTTATTTTGGGAAAAAAGATACAAATTAGTTCCAAATAAACACCCGTCTCCTCCCTTAAACTGACCCTTAGGTTAGACTGCCCAAACAAAATGTGCTTATATTCCATTTTTCCTCTACAGATGCAACATCTGTAAAACCAAGGAGCAGACAGACACAGTGCTTTGATAGTTCCCTGCAGTGTGTGTGAGTGAGAACAACTGAAATAGCTGCATTCTCTTCAAATACCAGTCCAAAACTGCCACTGGTTGGACGTACAAAAGTGCCAAGTTTTGCCTGTGCCCCATTCACCATTTTTTTTTTTTTTTTTTTTTTTTTTTTTTTTTTTTTTTTTTTTTTTTTTTTTAATTTTTTGAAACGACCAAAGAACAGTATTACGAAGAGGCACGACAAAGGGATGTGTGTGTGTTTCCACTGCACCCCCACAGACATTCAGTGTCTCCCTTCCTAGGAACCACCTGAGAGATGAGACCCTTCCAGGTACCTACATACACTCTTTGGGAGACAGCGCTTTGCAGATCAGCACAAGTGACATTCCAGTTAAAAATAAGAAACAAAGAACCAAAGAGGTATTTTCCTCAGTTTTCAAAGAGAAAACCAAGGTAAAGCCAATACTGGCGCCCGAAGACGAGGCGTGTGACAATGTGCTGTGTCACCGTGATGCGTGTAACCAGAAAGGACAAATCATGACCTGGCAAAAGCAGCTCGTCCCCACGGATCACAAGCAGAGCCAGCAGCTCTCCCCAGGCACACGCAGTGAGGAAGGGCTTGCCAGAGTGACCACACCCCTGAGCAGCCCCATCCAGAAGCCATATATTCTTTTTAAAAGTTGCTGTTTGAAGGAGACAAGGATTAAACACCACCATGTAAACTAACCCTGCTGTATCACACGACCACACTGTGTGTGCAGAACAGCTTCCTCTACCTTCAGACACCTGACCTGCTTCAGCTCATCCAAAAATCTGTATAAATTACTACATTACGTCAACAGACTCTGTTGAAATGGGAAGTTACCTCTCCCAGAGAGGTTATTTTAGAAGTAATTAGGATTTCATTTAAAAACAACTCACATTTTTTTCCCCCCATCAACACACAGTGATAATGGAATAAATCCACTTTCCTTCACATTCAAGAACAAGTTTTCCCTTTGGAATGGCACTAGTTTCTTAATTGCAGTATTTACAAGGACAATTAAGTTTGGCATTGCCACTTTTCTCCAACAGGAAAAAAAGAGATAGGTAGATGCCAAGGGAATTACGGAAGAAAAAAAACAAATAACAGATACTAATGGTAGATCTAATACTAATAGATACTAATGGTTGTTGTCAGTGTCAAAGTCCAAACTTCTAATGGAAAACCAAAGTATAACTGGGACAGGGTTGGGGGAGGCTGAAGGGGGAAGAAGCACTGGTGTCAGAGCAGAAGATCCAAACATTTGATGAATCAAGGACCTTTAAAAGAAGTCCAGTCTCTAATCCACATTTTCATTTTGCTGAGTCTTCCTCAAGCTGGCCTGATCAGCCGTTGTGGAGGGTGTGCCAGTTCCAAAGCCAGAAGCACACGGGCAAGAGTCAGAAAAGCCAGAAGTATCTGCTGAGGAACAACATGCTCTAACAGCAAAAGGGTGACCAGAGATGATGCTGAAGATGACACAGGCAGCTGGACAACATCTCCAAGAACCCACTGCCAGCCCCTGAGGCTTAGACACAAGCAGTGAAGATCTTGTCCAAGCAGACGTTCCCATCACTGGCCTTTGCACGGTCCCAAATAAGACACTGAACATGACATGCAGGCAGACAGATGTTTGATGAGGTAAAAGACAGTAGCACCTCCCTTCTAGAAATAGTAAAAAAATGTATTTTTTTCACCTGTATGTAGACATTTAAAACTTTTCTCCTTACCCCCCCCAGTAAAACCTGCAAAAGATACAAGCACAATCATCAAAAAATACCAAGTCTGCTCAGAAGAGCTCTTAGGATTTCGTTTCCTCATATACAAGTCTGTTAAACTTCAGGAAGTGTTAAAAACTGGAATCTGACACCAGCTCCCCTTTCCCCCCCCAGTATAGATTTATCACACACACGCGCGCACAGAGTACATACTACATTCCTCTTTTACAGACTAACTGTTAAAAAAAAGGGATGATTGTTCTAAGCCACGGAGACTTGTGAGGTCTGGCTCTCATGGAGAGGCCATTCTCCTCTAAGTTTTTAACCTGGTTTGCGAGGCAAAGCTCTACTGCTCCTGTACATTCCTTACCAAACAAAAAAAATAGTCTTTTAGGGTGAGTCTAAAAACCCTGGACCTGTCAATTCCAGAGCCAGAGGGTCAGTTCTTGGCTGTTCGGAGCTTCCTACGGAAATAATCAGGCGCCGCATCGTAGAGCCAGTCGGCATCCACCACGCACAGGTCCCGCATGTAGCACTTGTTGGTGTGGAGCAGCCCGTTGTAGACCACGCAGGCGGGTTTGCAGTGGAAGAGCACGGAGGAAGGGTGGATGGCCACCGCCTGGTGAGTGTCCACGGTGCTGTAGGTGCCGTCGGGCTGCAGCTCGGCTGCATTCATGAAGAGGCTGTGAGCCAGGCAGCGGCGGATGTTCCCCGTGTCTGAGCGGGAGGACTCGATGGGCATCGATAGCTGTGCAGCGGAGAGAGACACAGGAGTAAGTGTGAGCGTGTACGTGCACCCTCGTGGGGAAACACAGCCCCATTTATTGGGCTTCCAAGCTCAGCTGATAGTGGGGATTATAAAAAGAATCTTGGGAAATACAAAAGCACCACCAGAAATTCAGCCCAGGTGGATGTTTAGGCTAATCCAGGCTAATAGCAAAGAAACAATGAGCCGCAAAATGGAGCCAGTCTCTCCTGGGAGTGAGTTTTAGGCCACCCAGCATCTGAGCAGGACAGGGGTGCCAAACAGTGGCTCCTGTGTCACATAGAGACTGCAGGCAATCCAGCAGCAGCTCCCACGCTGCACCTTCCGCTCTGTGACCAGCAGAACAGCGCTGATGGGAAAGCTGCTTTTTAATTAATGCTCGACTCCGTGAAGAAGACAGCCAGCACGGGCTGCTGGGGCTGACAGCACTCAGTGGCACACACAGCACAGTCACATCTACACTAGAGCAGCCAAATCCCTGAGGAAAAACTGTCCTCTACCCGAGAAGCCTTCCCAGAGCTCCCCTTCTCGCTTCACCTCTCCTCGACCTACCGAGCCCTGCAGCTCTGAGATTTTGGGATGCAGCTGCAGAGTTGGGAGTTTTACCTGACTATTCATGGGAGACTGAAAACAAACTCACATTTTCTCACCCCTCGGACTTGGTGCACAGTGAAATCAGTTTGGGGACAAACAGAAAAATGCAAACAGGTGGAACAGAGAAATACAGTATGGCAACAAGTTACCTTTACACAAATGTCCCTGAGCTGAGCTCTGACGTCTGACACGAGCATCATGTTCCTGCCGTTGACAAAGTTCTCTTTGCACCATTCCTGCAGCAGAGATGTCAGGAGTTAGAGGGGCTGTTTCTTCACCCAAGAAGCACAACAGTCTTTGGATACCATGAAAAGCAGAATCCTCTAAACACACAATCTTTCTCAGAGAAAAGGTGCCAGCCCATTTCCCTGTCAAATTTCTATCCCTGATTACTCCCCTCTGTCTACATTCCCTCCCACAGTGCCGAGAAATGGCACGCTGTTGTTCTCTTCCCACTCAGAATTGCTCTGCAAGGTCACTGAGTGCTGCAAAACAGCACTTGCTACCCCACAGGTGGTGAAAACAAATGATATTAAGAATGACAGATGCTGCAAGGAATGGGGTACACGACTCTACAGATCTACAAATCAAACTGAAGAGTTTATAGGGCAGGATAAATCAAAATCTGCTTGTAAATATGCTCAGTGTTTTTGCAATGAATCCTGCCAAACAGCAAGTCTCAACACTCTCCCACTCCCTCCTGTTTCCAGCTGGAACCAGAGAAGGAAGAGCCCTGGCTCTGATTACAGAACTGGCCTCACGAAGCTTTTGATAATCAGTTCTGCTACAGCTTTCTGGGGGATCCTTCGGTGCTGGAACAGCTTTCTCCAATTACCCAACTGTAAAGGATGAGTAAGTCATTGCTTCTCATTCCTTTGGAAGGATGAACATTGCACCAACCACAAAGGATGCAGATGTCACTCTGCTGTGTGCCAAAAAAGCTCCTCCCCACCCTGGAGATGGTCAAGACCAGGCTGGACAGGGCTTTGGGCAACCTGGTCTAGTGGGAGGTGACTCTGGGGGTTGGAACTAGATTATCTTTAAGGTCCTTTCCAGCCTAAACCCTTCTAGAATTCTATGAGCTCAGACAGCACTGGCCTCCTCAGAGCATCCTACCTTGTTGCCACTGACGTTCCTGAAGGCCCTGTACACGTTGAGCAGGGTAAGATGATCCCCCTCGCTGGAGATGAACTTCTTCCTGATGGATTGGACTTCATCCCGCCGTGCGGGGGGGTTGTAGAGGACACTGTCCACTGATAACAGCGACACGATGGTCAGGATCTCTTCCGTACAGTGGAACTTGGGGGACAGGAGGATGGTCTGCAAATCACAGAACAAAACTAATGTTGACCAAATCCACTCCAGGTGGGCAGGCTTTTCTGCTCGCCAGCAGCCCAAGAACTTTACCAAGCACTGTCTAAGGCAATTTCATAAACATTTGGGCCTAGAGACAACTGTAAATCCTCTTATGGGCTCACCAAGCAACTATCATGTTCTTTCCTGAGACTGGCCAGTCTGTATGCAGTACAAACATAGCGACTACCATCAACTACAGCATCAGACACTTCAGGAAATTGCTACAGTGCTACCAGCAATCCTGGAAAGTGCAAGGGAATTAGCCTTGTTTCACCTTCAGAGGTGCCAGAGGAAAGAAATTCTCTTTTAAAAAATCTCCCCGAATTAAATAACAAATGACAAATCAGCACAGCTGCTGGAAATAAATCTGTGTAAATTAACACACTGCAAA